CTCGACATCGAGATGGTTTTCTCGGAGAAGCTCATTGACAGAGAAAACGAGACGGACCTCCAACAGCGAGCGATGACATACTAGCACAGCTAGATCGAGAAGCAACACTTGAAGTGATCGAAGGGCTACAGAAGCTAGAAGTGTTGGCAGTAGCAGATCCTGATGAGAAAGAAGAAGCATTGATTTTGGACACAACATGTGTTTTTGACTGGCGATATCGTGGAAAGTGGAAGAGAAGATGTAGAATTCTTGCCAGAGAGTACAGGACATCCAACACGGACGAAGCGCAATTCAGTCCAACACCAGCAAGCTTCACCGTGAAGCTGATCATTGTTTAGCGGTCGATCTTCAATCTGCAGCTCTATGTAGCAGACATCAAGGACGCATTCCTCAGCGTGGCGTTCGACAATGAGAACCAGTAGAAGTGATTGTACCACAATGGGTCCAAGAGCTTGGAGAGAAAGATGCAACCAACAATCCACTACTGAAGGCTGAGAAGTGGAAATTACTGAAGTGCCTACCAGGCCAGAGAAATGCAGCACTCATGTGGATTGAACTTTTCAAAGAACTAGTGGAGAAAGCCGGGTTCCAATCCTACAAAGGTACGCCGACAGTTTTCAAACATGTGGAGAAAACGATTTTCATGATGATCCACGTGGACGATGTTTTGGTGACGTGAAACCCAGATGATTGGGCATGGTTCAGCGCAATGGTGAGAACACATCTCACGATGAACTCAGAAGGACCTTTCAGATTCAACAGCGGTGAAACGCTGTACTACTTGAAGAAGAAGGTGATGTTGGCAAGGCAGGGGATTTTCATCCAACCGAATCCCTCCTACATCAAGAAGATGGTGGAACTCTTGGAGCTAGAAGGGAAGAAGGCAAAGAGCCTACCACACCATTCAAGTCTATCTACAGCAAAGATGACATCAAAGACAATGAACGGCTTGACGCCGAAGGACAGCAGATTTTCCGCTCAGGTCTCGGACTAGCACTTTACATAGCACAAGATCGACCAGACATCCAGGAAGCGCTGAAGACGCTTTTAACATACATGGCAGGTGGAACAAAATTAGCTTTCACAGCATTATGACACTTGGAAAGCTACCTCAATGGAACACAAGAAGCAGGAGTCTTGCTGATGCAAGCCAAGATGTACCAGATCACAAGTCGATCATTGGGACTATCCAGAGTGGAGCAACCGACAAGATCGACAACCTTTCAACCTGGAAGCATTCACAGGTGCTAACTGGGCAGGATGCAAAGTTTCAAGAAAGCCGACGACATCCTACCTGATTTTCATGAACGGTGATCTTTTGATTTCCTCGTGCAAGCTACAAAGCCCAAAAGCACTATCAAGTGCAGAATCAGAACTCTATGCAAGTTGCAGTGGCTTTGCCGAACTTTTGCGCGTTGGCAGTTTGCTGAAATTTCTGATAGGAGAAGATGTTCAGATGACAGCGTACAGCGATAGCTCGGCAGCTAGAGGCATAATGCAGAGAGCCGGACAAGGAAAGCTAAAGCGCATTCACATCCGCAATTTGTGGATCCAAGATTTGGTTCGAGAGAAGATCATTCGCTTGTGCAGGGTTCCAACAGCAATCAACCCGTCAGATCTGAACACGAAGAAACTTTCACAAGAGCGAAGAAAGAAGCTGATGACTTTGATTCCCATAGGATTTCAGACTGGCATGGAGATTCAGAACATTGAGACAGAGAAGACATTGGACAGCAGATCACTCCAGGAGATTTTGAGAGTCCTACTAGCAGGTAGCTGTTTTCTACAAGGCTGTGAGCACACCTTCCTGACAGGTGTAGACGCTTTATTGATGGACTACCTCACGATCAAGAACATGGTGATGGCAGCGTTGACATTGCTGATTGCGTACCTGATCTACGCGATCAGATTGCAGCAAGTGCAGCTGAGATTTTCACAGAATGTTTTCGACGAGTTGACGCAACGACTACGACCAGATCGACATCTTCGACGACCAGGAGATCCTAACAGTTCTTCATCCCCGACATCAACTTCACAGGAGAGCGGACCTTTTACGTCAGGCATCACTCCAGACAGACCAAGGAGACAGCGACAAAGAATGACACCTGGAGATGCAATGAGGTTAGGATGGCGACCTCCACTTCATATAGGAGCACTAGCAGAACTTGGTGAAGAGTACGTAGCACTACAAGGTGTATGGCAAGACATTGATCCATCAAGATTCCAGAGAGGATTGATGAACGCATTTCCCGTTCCTTTCAGGCGAGCAGGAAGCAGCGGCAGGAACCGCTACGATGAAGCGCAAGAAGAACATGATCAAGATCTACCAGATCAACATGAACAAGTTCCAGAAGAGAAGAAGAACCTCTTGGAGAGGAACCAAGTCCAGAACAAACTTTGAGTCAACCTGGACAAGAACGATTTGATGTTTTTACACAGGCTGGACAGAGCGGTGATCAAGAAGAAGCAGCACATGGACCAAGCAGACGAATACAACAAGAAGCTTCACATGAAGCAATGAGACCAGATGACATTCAAGAACCAGAACCAGAAATGGAGATGAACACCTACATGGACAAGTTCGACGAGTACAACAACATGGTCATGGAGAAGATGAACATCAATGGATGACCTCTGATGGTCATGGAGAGATCTCAAGTGATAGTTCACGAGAACGGCTTGATTTTGATCCAGATTCAGAATGAGATCGACATGCAGAAGCTCAGAACAGATCACAAGACATAGATGATCAACATTGGATGACACTTGAGGAAACAGGCAGACGCATTGGTGAAATGATAGCTGACAACAGCAATCACTACAAGCTCTACGACATGATCCCGGATGACCAGGAGACTTTCGACTGGTATCGACAGCAGATGCTGATGAGAGGAGAAGGAGTTGAAACTCATCTAGTTCACGCAGGACATGAGTTGGCAGGCTTGATCAACCAGATCCTGGAGACGGCAGTGACGCAGAGAGTGGTGTTGAATGGAGATATGTTTGGCAGGCTGCAGATCCTACTCAAAGAGATCTTGGAAGCAATTGACGATTGCACAACTCCAGAAGGATGCAGAAGAAGCTTCAGATTCATCGAGAAGCTACAAAGATTGGAAAGGGAAACAATTGAGAGAGCAACAAACGACATGGATGCAGCTGGTGAATTCGCTGGAGCGACATTAACGAGGAGAAGGACGCGATGTTGAACAAGAACTTCGAGGCATAGAAGAGGTGATGTTGCAGGTACTACCAGAAGAAGCACACATCATTCCTGGAGAGCACAGCATGGCAGGATTGGCATTCAGTGCAGCTGAAGCAGCTGAGAGGACAACATATGCAGGCAGCTCGACGGATCGCATTCGAGCTGGACTACAAGATAGTGAGCCTCCTTGTCTGAGAAGGAGGATGACTTTCATGGAAGAAGTCATGAGCGAAGAAGATGATGACATGGACAAGGAGAACGAAGAGCCCGATGGCGCCGAGCAGGACGGCCAGCGCTGAAGTGAGAGACAAGCTTTTGAAACTTTGGTGGTTTCAGTCGAGAATAGCTTCTGGCCACCTAGCTTGCTTGTAGAGAAAAAATGGACGCATTAGCACATGCATCCATAAGGCAGGGTGTTAGATGCACTCACGCCAGATCATACAGTCGCATGGAAGCACATGTAGAGAGACACTGACTTGACTGCAGTGGCTTCAACTCAAGAGTGAAAAACCCGCACCCGTGCTTTTACAGGTTTGCATGTAGCACGAGAGTTGTTTTTTCAGCCTGCCTCCTCCATATGTCTCCTCAAAGGATTCTTTGGGATGTAAGCGTTGACACTTAGTGCTGGTTCCTTCGTGGATCTATGCTGAAAAGCTCACGGGGCAGAGGAAGAGGTCAGTTCAAGAGAATTGACTTATTTTCGTGCACGCTTAAGATTGCCCGACAAACTGTAGCTTCTGCCCAACTAACTATGTGCGTGGTGCCACAGGTCACTTGGGACCCCGTGAGACAAGGACCATTCTTGCCCCTCACCGTACCTGGGTAAACTCACGTTTTGGAGACCTGGAAGTGGCGATCAGCTGGTATTTGCAGGGAGGGTTTTTGAAGTGAACAAATTGCACATACACGCAAGACAGAGACGTGCCCTGACAGTCCTTCCGGTCCTATCATCGGAGAAAGGGTTTCACAAACTGTCGCCGTGGTTCATTTCTACATCCGTGGCATGTCCATTGGCCCAAATCAGCCGGTTTTGTTGTTCCAGCGCGTGAGGTTTCAGTTTCCATTATTTTTTTGCCTGGCATGCTAGTGCCAGGGGCTCTGGATTTCATCAAGTTTGGCCACACGGGGATGAAGTTGAGTTTTACAACCCTTAAATTACTCCTTTTGCACATGATTGCTGTGAGGCCCAAGGCAACTGGTGCGATGGACTTGTTGGATTTGCCGCAAAATATCCAACCACGTGAGCTCAGTCATTCCCCGCCGCTTGACCCGATTCAAAGCTTCACTGTGCGTTGGACATCAACATTTTGATTTCTGCTGTTCTTGTGTGGTCCGTCCTGTTCTGAAGGTCCTCCGCTGCATTCTCTCTGAGCGTGATGTCTATCCGTGAGCAAGATGGTGCTTCACGGGGTGGAAGCAGGACGTTCTCACCACACCGAGTCTAAGAACAAGTGGAATGGAGCGGTTAGATCATTCAAACGCATACGTCGAAAAAAAAAATTGAACACCCCTTGAGGAGATCATCACCATCACCAAAGATGCAGTCAAACCCTTCGAGCAGTCCGAACCCATCACCCAAAAGCGGAGACTCCTCTCCCCAACGCGAAGCAGCTGCGGCAGCCAAATCTGAGACTTGTATGCGGTTGGTAATTTTGTGCTGCCCACGGAAGAACCTGTGAAGCAGAATGGAAACTTGAGGCGTTCCAGAAGAGGAGGACTTGGAAAACAGAAGTGTAGATGCACAATGCAAACTGATGTAGATGTCTCGATCGGATGTCAATGTGCAGTTTTGAGGAGCATGTCTTTGCTTTCCAGCCAGTCTGAGACTCACATCAAGGAACGGTCGGGGCACATTTGAGTGGCTTCAGTTTTGGCTGCTTTGGTTTCGGTTTGAGAAGTGCAGGCCTACGAAGTCCGCAAAAGCTTCAAGAAACCTCAGAATTGGGTCTTGATCTTTGGCTGGTTCTTGGCTTCCTGTGCAGGATTTGTGCCTTGGGCTGCCTTGGCTGTCCTTTCAGGGTTTTGTGGGTTTGCAGATGCTTTGCAAATGGATTTGTTCTGAAATGGTCAGGTCAACACGGTGGCTTTCCTAAGTTGGCAGATGTCACTGGGCAGCGTGCAACATGCGGTGGATCCCGCTGTTTGTGGGAAAGTGCTGTTTCTGTGAGGTTTGTTTCCCATATGACGGGCACTTCAACAAAGATCGGACTTCAGATCGAAGGCTACCATAGCCAGCCAAGCGAGATGTGGAAGGCACTTGGGCCAAACGAGACTCAAAACGATCGTATGATATGATCGTGTTATCCGGTTTGCAGTTAAGGCCTAGAGCTGGAATGCTGGATTCTGCCGAGCTAGAATTGGGTTTTTCTTTGCCACATGCACCGCCCAACTCGAAACCACCGGAACTCCTGGCGCAGGCTTTTGGCTTGGTGGGCATGTTTGTTTTTGGTGCCTTCACCTGTGGATTGCTCCTTGGCAGAAGTGTCAGTCAGGAAGTGGGGGGAATCCGGGTGGCACTTGGGGTCTGGAAGAGTATTTCGGTGGACTTTTTGCGAAGAAAGCTCTTCGTCAATGAGACACCTCAAACTGAGGCTCATCGACAAGAATCAGGCAGTTTGCGTGAGAGCATTCTTGCAGCGTCAGTTAGGCCCTAGGCTCCAGGCTCCAAACATATTCGCGACATGTGGAAGAAAAAGATGAAGAGTGGAGGTGCACTTTGGGGGCAAGTCTTGGTATGGATTTGCGTTGGCCGGATCCTCAATGTGTGACAGTTCTCAGATAGCTCGAAGAATGAAAGTCTAACGAAAGTGATGAGAGAGTCATGAGAAAGTCAGTGCAGACTTTGTGCATCAAGGTGCTCAATGGTCTCCTGCTGATTACAGCTGCATTGCTTCCGGATGCTCCAATATGCTCCTGCTATTTAGCCTCGATGGCCTGTGGCCTTCAGCCGCTGGGTTTCCAGAGTCCATGCTAACACGACCTAAACTAGCGATGCCCGGCAATCTCTACTAGCGAGCTCCACCCTAGCAGCGGTCTGCGACTTTTGATTCTAAGCATCGAACGCCGTCATCTTGCGTCCGCATCCCGTACAGAACTCAAACGGTATGCTCTGACCAGGCATTTACAAGCTGACTATGTTTGCCAACCATGCTGATGCGAACATGTTACATAATTATATCAATGATGCTGATGCTGCCAACGCATTTTCAAGACATCACCAACATCATCACAATATATCACAATGATGTTTGTCATTTCTAGGACAATTGTTTTTTGTTTGGTATGTGCCTACTTGAGTTTATTTATGTTCAAGTGGGAGTGGGAGGGTTTTGCCAGAGACGCTGCAGGTTTGACGTCCTTCTGCTAAAACTTGTTGTTTCATCGACTTGGCAACCCCTTCAGAAAAGGATTGCTGGCGGCAGCTTCACTGGTCCTCAGATGTGGTCAAACCAATTAAAACACGAACTCTCTGGCGTATTTCTACGGCTTCCCATGTTCGGAACCAAAACGCTCAAGACCTGAACGGGTAGTCGAAAGAAGAGTCCGGGTGTTTGTCAGAGTGCGCTGTTTTCTGATTTTCAGTAGTGTTATAACATAATAGTTCTTTAAATAGATTTCCTTTAAAATGTCTGTTTGTTAAATAAACTATATTTTTAACAATTTGTGCCTTAATAATGGACGATTAAATCATTCTAATGTTTGATACTGTTTTCCTAATTTTGTTGCAATGTTTTCTACTGTATATCCACCTTGTAAAAAATGACTTGTTCTCTCTTTCTCTGTAATTGCTTTCTTCCTCATTATTTTTACCCTGTCTCCCACCTCTAGTGTTGGATACATATTTTCTTTACCTGCTTTCACTGATACATTCAATTTTGCTTTAAACTCATTCTTCTCTTTCCTTGCTTCATTTGGTGTTAGTCCTGTTGCACTATGCACATCTTTATTATAAGTCGTTGGATACTGTTTTCCTAATTTTGTTGCAATGTTTTCTACTGTATATTCACCTTGTAAAAAATGACTTGTTCTCTCTTTCTCTGTAATTGCTTTCTTCCTCATTATTTTTACCCTGTCTCCCACCTCTAGTGTTGGATACATATTTTCTTTACTTGCTTTCACTGATACATTCAATTTTGCTTTAAACTCATTCTTCTCTTTCCTTACTTCATTTGGTGTTAGTCCTGTTGCACTATGCACATCTTTATTGTAAGTCAGCATTATTTCTAATATGTAGTCAGTCCATTGTATATTCTGTTTTCCCTTCTTCTCATCATTTTCAACCCTTTTGAATGGTTTATCCTTAAATATCCTAAAAATCTTTCAGCGAAGACAGGATGTCCTCTTGCCCTCAATGCCTTCACCATCAGCACTTGCTATACCTCTTTCATCATCAGTATACAAAAGTTTGCACTTCTTTCCCATTTTGTGTAAGCCTTCCATAGTTCCAGCAATTATGGCAGGTGGGGTCAAGCCTTCCATAGTTCCAGCAATTATGTCAGGTGGGGTTTTACTCTTTATTGGCACTACCACAGCATATTTACTCAGAACATCTATCATTACTAAACCCGCTCAAAATTGTTGTGTTGCTTCAATGTCATCAGGTTAAAAAAAAACAAACAAAAACAATATGTCAAGTTGGTAGGTATGATTATAATGAGGTGCTACAAAACTGTTCTGACCTCTGTGTTTTTTCTTTATCTCAACATGTTTTCTTAAAAAAAATATTCAACATCAAACAGTTTTATTTCAGAATCTTTTTTTGCATCTCTTAAAGTTGTTGCTTTACTTCCATATTTTCAAAAATAATCAGTGAGCACTACAATTACAATACTTACAGTATGGAGTGCAATTATCCACAGAATGGCACAGTGTATTGTCTGGTCTTTGTGCTGTGAAGTTTTTTGATAATTTGCCTTGCTTCATTTCAATATAAGATTTTACTCCACAGTGGGCACAACAGCCATGGAAATGATTCAAACATCAATGTTCATTGATATAGTTGTCTTCATCTATTTCTCTATCAGCCACTTTATCCTGTTTTTTGTGTCCTTCAATCTTGTTTTTTAAATATCCTATTACTAAGTTATTTTGCATCTCTTCATCTGCGTTTTCATTCTTGAAAAATATACATTGTTAAAATCCATTGCTCTTGTGATACTGCACCACAACCATTCTCTGCTTACTAGATATGACTTTTGGCCATTCATGTATTGCAATGTTTCCTCCTATTGATGTCCCCTGTCTGCTTGGGCCGCCAGATAGAGGAACCAAAAAAGATGAAAAACAAAAATAATATTTCAGAACTCTTTCTGCAGAAGCCCCAAGTTCAAAGACCTCTGGATGTTTTTTGTTCTTTTGTTTTTTTTGGAGACCCAAGATTCCCAAACCTCTGGAAATTAGTAGTCTTTTGTATTTATGAATACTCAAAGCATCTGGTCATATCTGAAATGTCTCTATCTGGTGCAAAATTTCCAGAGGTTTGGGAATTTGGTGGTTCCAAAAAACCTGGGGTTTCCAAAAAACAAAAAAACCCAAAAAACAAAAAAAAAATCCAGAGGTCTTTGCACTTGGGGCTTCTGCAGAAAGAGTTTTGAAATATGTTATTTTTTGTTTTTTTTTGGTTTTTTGGAAACCCCAGGTTTTTTGGAACCACCAAATTCCCAAACCTCTGGAAAATTGTATTTTTTGGTATTTCTGAATACTCAAAACATCTGGTCCTATCTGAAATGTCTCTATCTGTTGCAAAAGTTATAGAAAAACATCTGCAAATCATTGTCTCTATCTGGTGCAAAATTTCCAGAAAAAAAATCTGCAAATCAATGGAAAACCGCACTCTCAGGGACACCCGTTCTGCCTGAACGGGTAGTCGAAAGAATTGGTGCCAAATGCCAGAAGCTCGAGCATGAACACACCTGAACTGATTGGTGCACTGTCGCTGATTCTGCGATTGTCTAGTTTGTGTTCTGGTTTCGACAGGTGTATTTGCAGATGATCTCTTTGGTCAGGGGGGTAGAGGTAGAAAGGAGTAGCTATTATGGACCTTGCCACACCCTCTTGCCACAGCTCACAACACCACAGCCCGGGATGTTGTTCGGTGGGCATGCATGTGGTTCATGGCATTGGGCTGGGAAGCTGACACTAGGGGCTTCTTGTTACTAGTAGCTTCTTGTTAGTAAGGCCAGGAGCCCCTAGTAGCATCCTTGCTCCTAGTAGCGATGCCAGGAGCCCCTCGTAGCTTCTTGTTCCTAGTAGCTAGTGCGGACACTTGCAGCCGTAAGTACAGCTGCCTGTGTCAAGTTGGACACGGGCTGCCAATCCCACAGTGCGCAGCGGGCCATGTTTGTCATGTCTGTTTGCCTTTTCCGAGATGGGGGCGGTGCGTAGGTAACTTAACTGGACATATGTTGGATTGCTCATTTGTTGCTCACCACACATCTGCACAAACTCGACCTGCATGGAATCTCGCGTTTTCACCATTTCGCAGGGCATCGAGCAAAAAAGAGGCCTTTTTGGAAGTCGTTGAAGTTTGGAGTCAGCAAAACACAAGCAAGTTGAAGCAGGTTCCATGTGCTCAGGAATGCCATGTGTACCTCGCACTTTGGCGCAGTGGTCGGAACCTCAGGTGCTCCCGTCCGAAGAGCTTGAGCTCGGACGAGTGAGCTGAGCTGAGCTGAGCTGAGCTGAGGTGCGCACTACACATGTGACCGGCACTTTGACGGATATCGGTTCCATTTTGGGACGTGTAGCTGTCATGCATCTTCGAAAAGGCGCGTAGCTGACCGTCAACTGTGCCGCGTTTGAAAAACAAAGCTAGGTCAACTGCCGCCGTCAACTGACGATGATCGAACTCTGCGTCGAAAGCAGGTTGCCGTCGATCGAAGTTCAACGTGCTGGAAAAGGCCACAGTCAACCGCGTGCGAAAATTCTGCTTGAGGGACTGGACTGCTACGAACGGAGCATTTTGGGCATCGCGAACCGAACGGAGCGATCGGACGCTACGAACGTAGCTCCTGGCCCTACTACTAGGAACAAGAAGCTAGTGGGGTTGGATTCTTTCACTTTTGAGAACATAGAAATACAGAAGATGGTCTTTCTTTCCTCCATGGGTCTTGACATTCGCGAAGTCGTTGCAGGCTGAACTGGGCGTGGACCTGCGAAAACTCTTAGTGTTGCTGCCGATGTGGGTTTCCTTTGTCATGGGAAGTACCTTCGGTGCCAGTCTCAGAGTCCTGTGGTCATTTCCAGACGTGAAGAGACCTGTGAGTCTCATTTCTGCTTACGACCTGAGAGCAGAGACTCATCTTACATGTGACTCCTGTCGACCTTTTTCTGTGTGTGGTCCGCGGATTTGCTATATAAATACTGGCTGTAGACCTGGTTGATTCGACTTACACCATGCCGTCGAACATCGTTCAGGGCTAAGCCTGCTAAGCCTCACTCTGCAGGTACAATCTGTAGAAGGGCATACGCAAAGTATGCTTGTACTTCTCATTGTTTTCCAGCCTGTTTGGCTGTGAAGAACTAGGGGTTGAGAAGGATGTCATGGACTTGTCGTTGTTCCAACCTTGGATGCCAATTGTCACTGATATTTTCCCCATGCATATATTTTTCTTGATTGCTTATGATTTTATGTCCTCTGATGTTCACTTGAGATTGAACATTTTTTGACATCGAGACATGAAGTAGCTCTGCTTAATGCAATGTGTCTTGCATTTGTTCTCGCTCATTATTGAGCTCTGAGACATCTAGCTAGTTTCTGCATTGCGTGGAAGGTGCCCTCGCAGAAAGCATCCTGGGCCAGCACGCTCTTTTCATCCCTGCCTTTGCCACAACCTTCCTGGGTGTGGTGTACATGACCTTAAGGCAGCATGGCATTGCCAAAATGTCTGACCATCTTCGGTCGAGAGTCGAGGAAACCTTTGAAGCGATTCTTTTCATGATTGGCCCTGCTTCGCAGGTCCTTTCTTTGAAACCTTTGTTTCATGATTTTACACTCGCAGGCAAGTCTTGTCTGACCTGTTTCAACAGCTGGAGCAGCAGTCCCTGCGAGAGAAACTCCACGAGGTGCGGACGCGAAACAAAAATACTAACACGCCGTGGACCGAAACACGTGGACCGTGCGATGACCGACGACCAGACGCCCCTTGTGAACCAGGTTCACTCCGCCTTGTGGCGTGCCAATACAAGGCCTTTTTGTGGCGGGGCGGAGGGTGAACATGGATCCGTGATGCGTTCCATTCATGGTTCCTTTCTCTGACGCACACCACGGAGTGCATGCGGACGCGTAAAGAGCAGCATCGCCAGTATGGTGGATGGTGACGCAACTGCCGAGCTTGATGAGATTGACGAAGAGATGCTTGGCTTTGAAAGAACGAGTCGTGTCTGACGTGTCTTTGCTCCACCTGTTGGTTTTCTTTAGTTTGTCGTCAATGCAATTGGTGGATCAACAAAAGCAGCATGTACGAAGAGAGTAGGGACTGGGGAAGTTGGAAAGTTGGAGAAGGAGAATACGGAACATACTGAAGAGAAAGATAATGAAAGATACGAATCCAATTTCTGCGCTAAAGATGTTTCGCGAAATCCAATCCAGGATTGGCGAAATGATGCACCACTTGGAGGCGTGGTCGTTAGCAAGACACCTGAAAAACGGGAACAGCCATAGACAACGAACGAAAAGAAACAATCCTCAGCTTCCTTGTTTTCCTCAGATCATTCCTTTCTACGGTGCAAATGGCTGTTCCACAGTTTGGGCACCGAACGCGTGAGGCTCCGCCAGAAATGAAGTTGTGAGGCTCTCCGGTGCGGGGGAGGTGGTTAGACTTTTCTCAAGTTTCCTTGGAGGGAGGTGGAAACGCCGCCCTGGCCGCTCTGCAATGGCAAGTCAGTGAAGGCCAAAGACAGGATGGAGGGCAGAGGGGAGGACATGCACCGAAACAACACGTGGATCCTGCTCTGGCCATGAAAGCAGCGCCAAAGAGCAAGCAGCACTGAATCTGCTGACAACAGAAGCTGGAGTTTTGATTCTTACCAGGAGAGTTCCCTCATTTTGCAGGAATGCTTGCTGGTTGCCTAGCATCCAAGCCCCCCTGCCATCCCCCTGATTGCCCGATTGTAGATTGCAGTGCGGGCGGAGTTTTGGTTTTCAAAACTCCCTCCGTCATGTGTTGTTTGCTTTGCAGTGGACTTCTTCGTATGCACATGGTGTAGCCATTGGATACATGTGGCTACGCTTGCATGAGAGCTATGACAACGGTCGTGGCAAAATTTGGACGTTGGTTTCGTTTGAATTGTTTCAGGTCCCAAGAGATTTGACCCAATTTCCTCGGCTTTCACAAACTGAAGAACTGAAGAAGATGTTGGAGCTTTTTTTTGTGGCTCATGAAATGGAACATTGTCACATCCTTTTTTTTCGATCGTTTCATGGAAATGTCGGCCACGGGGCCGTTTCCAGGATTTTGAGCGCCAAACTTTGGGATCTTTCCTGGGGTGCAGCTGCCACTCAGCGTCTTCTGTTTCAGCATCGCGAGGCTGCCAGCATAATCTTAGACGGTTTGGCCTAAATCCCATCCTCAGTTCTAAGTGGGTTGGGCCAACAAACACGTGCGCAAGCGCAGAATGCAAGAAAAGGAGAACTGCGTCGGGGAAGTGGCCCAGACAACCACTGATTGCACATGTCTGCTATCGAAAACCAGATGGTTATAGTCATGGTGGCTGCATGTAAAGCTCAGATCAACTTGACGTGCTTTAGATGTCTGCAAGAATGAATATGTGAGGATCAGTGTTTTCAGAATGAATTCAATTGTAGCTGTCGGGTCAGCACTGTCCGGTGTCGCGCATGCTCAAGCGCCATCCGTGTCAGCAATCGATGGACACTTAAGACATGAATCAACCGGCATGTCATACACGTGATGTCTCTTACTTTGGCACAAATTTTCAATGATAGGTTTCCTCGTTTGGGGCGGATAGACAGATGCTTCGTGTTTGATCTCAGTGTGCTTTTAAGCGAGGAAAGATCGACTGATTGCTCAAGCAGAGCGAAAGAACTCCATTAAAACCCGAGCTCTTGGGCAAGTGCCTCATGGAGATTTTGCAACCCGTCTCCTTGAGGACTGTTCTGTGAGAGGGTTTCAACACAACCATTTTTTTCATTGCATCATGAAGCTTTTGGCTTCTCTCTTTCATGGCTTCCCCACAGATGCCACCCACTGCATTGTCAGATCTCTTGCACAGATTGACCCGTCTTCGGATTCGGAGCGACTGAGCTACTCCGTCGTCGACCCTTAGGAGGTCGACGACCGAAACCCTCCAGACAAGACGAAATGGTCCGAAGAGAGCAACGAAATGGCTGACCAGAGCCTCACTTCGGTGGTAGGAGAGCTGTTTGTTGCAACTCTGAGGCGAGACCAGAGGTTGGCCTTGGGTTCCACACTTGGGAAGAATCCAGGTTTCCAATTCCTCGCCAAATTGCGAACATGGCCGCCATAACCGAAGCAGCATCACTTCACTTTTCTCAAGACCAACACCCCTTGTCAACGGTCTTTGGAGGAGCACCGGGCTTGAGTAGCTGTAGTGCGTGGTGAGGACAAGCAGCTCCTCGTGGTCCTCCCGATCGTATGTTGAGGTGCCTCCGGTGCAGGCGCCGCGAGTTCTGCCGTTCTCTCCGAGGTGCTTGATGTGAGGTGCAGCAGTTAGTCTACCTAGTTAGTCTCAATTTGGCTCACTCTGACAGGAGTTCATGTTCAATCTACCGAGGGTCAGAAGCAAATATCCAAGCACACATGTGGCAATAGTGTACGTTGTAGAGATTAAGGATGATTAGGAGGTCGATCAACAAACATTCTCCAATTTTGATTGGTCTCAAACCTTCTCTAATCTCCTCGACTCTTCTCCAATCTCCTGGGCACAATGATTTGATAATTGTTTTGCTACCCGTTTGTTTCCCTCTCTTGTGGACCTTCCTTAACTGGGTGGAGAGCAGACACTTTGGACAGAACGACATCTCTTATAGTCACAAATCTGAGGGCTTGTGAGACATCTCCTCAGCAGCTTCTGGAGATGATCCTGAGACACATCTCCTCATTCTCGTTCCACTTATCACTTGACACACTGGAAGCGGTGGCACCGCGCGTGTATGATTTCAGGCCGATTGGAGAGCTGGACAGTACTATGCAATTGGGGTAGCAGAAGCAGCGGCAAGAGACTCAATGGTTTGGGAATCAACGAATTGCAATGGGCCATTGGAGTCACTATGACATTCCCCCTCTGGTTGGCAAAGATTAGGACCTGGAATGAGTTTCTTTGGACCAGGTTTAAGACGGAAGCACTGAGACTCTGCACTTGAATTGCACGATTCGCTCAGATTTTTCTCTGCCCTGCCCTGAGGCAGTGTTGGTCGTTGGTCAGACAGTCCGAGGATGGGGTTGCCAACCGCCTTGGTCGTATGATGGTGTAGGTCTATGTAGGTTTGACTGCGGATGGATCAGCAACGGTAGACCGTTGGACCGTGTTGATCAATGTTCACGGAGAAACCGATGCAAAATCTTGGAAACAAACAAATTGTTCTTCGCAGGTTGGAGAAGATGTAGAAGCACATCAGGACCCCCGGGAGTGTTTGCTTTCATTGGCGTCTGACGTCTGAATCGCAGCGATGATCGCCGATCTGGTGGGACAAAAAGAACGAAGCTACTAGCAACAAAGGGCATCGCCACTAGGAGCAAGGATGCTACTAGGGGCGCTCCCGGCCTTACTAGGAACAAGAAGCTACGAACGTAGCAAAGGGCAATACTACTTCAATTCCCTGTTTTGTTTGGGCTCTTGGTTTGGACCCACAGATATTCGAGATCGAGAGCGACCCAATAGGATTCGACCAATTCGACCGACAGAAAAACCATTTGGAAGTGCAAGAGGGCCGTCAGCTCCAGGCGCGCTTGCCAGACGAGCCAAAGGGAGCCGAGCCTTGACGGCTCTTTGGCCCAAAGAGAGATGCAAAAGACAGTAACAAGGGCATCGCTACTAGTAACAAAGGGCATTTCTACTCGGAGCAAGGATGCTACTAGTAGCTCCTGGCCATACTACTAGGAACAAGAAGCTGCTAGGAACAGAGAGATAAGGGGCCCAAGTCAAGCTTCTCTTCAGTCACATTCTTTTTAACATTTAAATCAGTGAGAGACGACTGGGCTAACGACTGGTTGAGTGCTGGGTTTTCTTGAGCATCCGTTGTGATGCTCGGTTCTCCGGCCATGGGAAAAAGAAGCATGAGTTTCCACCTTTTTGTCCAAGTAAAGTGTTTCACTCTTATCAATGGATTTTGCCATTTGCGTGACTAAATTGACTGTTTAATTGATACTGGACCAACTTGAGGTGGTGGAGCATATGGACCAGTGGAGGCAGATGCCAATGGAGGCGACGCTGCTCCAGGAAGCGGTGCAACGAAAGAGGCGCCGCGGAGCCGAACGAAAGAGCCGTCTCGCCGCGGTGTTCGTCTTCCGTTTCGAAAGTTGGCGAACTTGGTCCAGTCAAGTCTTTCAGACTGTTTCTAATGGCTTCTTGTTACTAGTAAGGCACCTGTTACTACTAGCGTGGCACTTGTTACTAATGGCTTCTTGTTACTACTAGTAAGGCACTTGTTACTAGAAGCGTGGCACTTGTTTCTACTAGCTTCTTGTTACTAGTAAGGCACCTGTTACTACTAGCGTGGCACTTGTTACT